GGGGGGCTGGGGTCTCAAACCCTTAAGGCTAAAACGGGCCAAGCAGTCAGTCTGGTCAAACATGGAAGCTTTTAGGGGAAGGGTCTCCTCTGCCCTGGTCAGACCCGCCCCCCCGTGGGTCCAGTTTAAAAGGGGCTGGGGGTTGTGAGAGGTCCAGAGGGGGGAGGGGGGGTCCACAGTTCTTCAGAGCTCCGGGCCCATTTAGCCACGAGGTGGATGAGGGGTGATGTTGTCCTCACCCAGAAAGGTGGGTGGGTGGGCTTCTTCTCTGTGCCCCCCCCGAAGGGCAGGAGTTGAACCCAGGCCTGGTCCTAACCCCAGGGGTGTGGTGGGTATAAAGGAGGAATTCCCTGGTGGGAGGGGCACTTGAACTGGGGAAGATGCTACCTTGAACCCGGGGCTGGGTCCTATCTCGAACACGGGGCTCGGCTAGACGGCCTCTGAAGTCCCCCCTGACGAAAATGAACCCCATTGAAATGACTCTACAACAGGGAAGAACAAGTTGGGAAGGGGGGGGGCTTGATGGGGGAGGAGAGGGAAGCTTGGGAAGATGAAAGGGGGGGCTGTTCCTTTGCTAAATTGGGGTTTTTTTCTCCCCCAGTCTCGCACCCTTGGGAGAAAGACTGCAATTCCCAGAATTCTTTGCAACTCTGTTGGCTGGGCATCCTGGGAACTGCCGTGCCAGGGGAAATAGGGGCTGAATATTGGGGGGGGGAATTGGGGAGGGGTCCCCACTTTGGCCTAATAATGATCCTAATAATTAAAAGAGACCGGCCTCTCGTTCATACGTAGCATGCCTGACAGAAGAGCTGTTAAAAAGTGGAAAGTTCTGGTCCGCGGATGCTTTTATTTGCTTTATTTACTCGTTCTTTATTTTTAGACTTTTTAAATCACGCTTTTATTATTTGGTGAGTAATTCAAGGGAACAAATATGCCTAGTGCTTTTTCTTCCTCTTATTTCAACAACAACCCTGTGAGGTGGGTTGGCCTGAGAAAGCCCAGCCGGCTTTCAGGCCTAAGGTGGGACTAGAACTCACATCTCCTGGTGATTGGCTCAAAGTCACCCAGGTGGCTTTCGTGCCTAAGGCGGGACTAGAACTCATCCTCTCCTGGTGATTGGCTCAAAGTCACTCAGCTGGCTTTCATGCCTAAGGCGGGACTAGAACTCACCGTCTCCTGGTGATTGGCTCAAAACCATCCAGGTGGCTTTCGTGCCTAAGGCGGGACTAGAACTCTCCGTCTCCTGGTGATTGGCTCAGTCACCCAGCCGACTTTCAGGCCTAAGATGGGACTAGAACTCACCTTCGCCTGGCGATTGGCTCAAAGTCACCCATGTGGCTTTCATGCCTAAGGCGGGACTAGAACTCATCCTCTCCTGGCGATTGGCTCAAAGTCACCCAGGCGGTCTTCATGCCTGAGGTGGGACTAGAACTCACATCTGGTGATTGGCCCAAAGTCACTCAGCCGGCTTTCATGCCTAAGGCGCGACTAGAACTCACCGTCTCCTGGTGATTGGCCCAAAGTCACCCAGGTGGCTTTCTTGCCTAAGGCGGGACTAGAACTCATCCTCTCCTGGCGATTGGCTCAAAGTCACCCAGGCGGTCTTCATGCCTAAGGCGGGACTAGAACTCTCCGTCTCCTGGTGATTGGCCCAAAGTTACTCTGCTGGCTTTCATGCCTAAGGCGGGACTAGAACTCTCCGTCTCCTGGTGATTGGCTCAAAGTCACCCAGCCAGCTTTCATGCCTAAGGCGGGACTAGAACTCACATCTCCTTAGTTTCTAGCCAGGTGCCTTAACCACTAGAGCGAACTGTTGCTATTCCAGGTGCTCTAAGGTTTGATTAAAAATAATCTGAAAAAAAAATGATGAATTATCGGGAGCTGCAGATTGAAATCCATTTTTCCCCACTAACGGTACTTAAAGAATTTCCGTGCTGTCTGGAAATATCGAATTTATCAGGTTGAATACATAAATTTATATAAAAATGGCCGGCGTTCTTTGTCGCTACCTTGATCATTCTTGGTTAGGCCTTGAATGGTTCAGTTCCACCCACCCCTCCAGCCTTAGGCTGCGAATCCAGACTGTCCATTCCCCACCCCATAATCCCTGCCCGGGGGGAACAAGCCTTGATGACATCACGGCTTCGTTGACGTGTCGCCGCCCCAACGAAGAAGCCGTGGTTTGTGGCATCCTCCTGAGGAGATTTCAAATTTGCATTTCCAGATGCAAATTTCCGCAACAGCCCTCCAGCCTCCCCTTGCCCACGGGACGTTGGACTCCAAAGCCCATCCGCCCCGGGCAGGGGCTGATGGTTGTTGTAGTCCAAACACACACACCCCCAAAGAGGGTTCAGGTTGGGAAGCTGGGCTGACGTCCTTCCTTGCCCCCTGACGGAGGGGAGGGTCATTTCGGCCTGGGGGAGGGTGAGGGTGGGGTTGCTCCCCCCTCTTTCAAATAAAATAGCCCCTCCCTCCCCAATACATTTGTTCAGCCCCTCCCACTTGAGGACGGTCCCCTTCATTTGCATCCCCAGAGGGAGATGCTGTTGTCATGGTGTCGCCATGGCGACTGTTGTCAGCGGCCACTGGAGGTGGAAGAAAAAGAGGGAAAGCGTGCAAAATGGAGGAGGGGGGAGAGAGGTGAGTGGGTGGGTGGGGAGCTGAGCGGGACTTCAGCCCACTTGGATTCCAGGCCAAACAGCTTGCCCCCCCCCCGTGGCTACCCCACCAGGACGACGCCTACCGGTGTGTCCCAATTTGGCATCCGCTTGGAGTTCCCTTGGGCCCTCTCCTCCCTTTCCCTTTGCCCCGTCTCCCTCCATCCGGGACTTAACCCCACCAGCTATTCAGGGTACCCACATTTTGCGCCCCGCACTCGGCAACCCGCTGTGCAATATTTGGTTTATTCTATTTATGTTATGTTATGTTATTTTATTTTATTTTATTTTATTATTTTATTTTATTATTTTATTTTATTATTTTACTTTTATTTTTATCTTATTCTATTTATTTTATTTTATTATTTTATTTTATTTTTATCTTATTTTATTCTGTTTTATTTTATTTTACTTTATTTTACTTTATTTTATTATTTATTTTATTTTATTATTTTATTTTTATTTTTA